AGTCTTCCAATAGCGAGCCTAGACAAAATGGTTTAGTGTTTCACCACTATCCATCCCACAACTTACCATTTGTAAGACCCAAGCATGGAGCCAAGGAGTGATGGAACCGAACCACGGAGCAACTCCCAAGCATATAGCCCAAGGAGCGAAGGGACAGGAGCCCAAAGTAACTTAATGCCAAAACTAACATGCAAAACAGAGCCAAACGGAATTTAGTGCTATTTCGGCATACCAGTGGCCTAACGTGAGGATATGGGTACTCCACCAGCTAGCATGGAATGGAACCCCCCCCCCCCCCCCCTCCCCTTCTCTTGAGGAACACATGCTTTGGGATTTCACCCCAAGCCTCCTTTAGTATTAGGAGTTAGTCTCTGGGACAAGCTTGAAACTTACTAAATATGGAATGTCCCTAGATTGTGAATTTGGACACGGAACGAACACCATTGTGTTCAGGCCAATCTCTACATTCCGTAGATATGCCAAACGAGCAAATCTGGACACTTTTCCATAAATAGCATTTGAGACCGAAATGAGACTAACACAAAGGGCATGATAGCAAGGGTGTTTGGCAGACACGGTAAACTATCATCTAGCGAATATTGAGGGACCAAGCTTAATATCATGGGGGTTCCCAACACTAGCAAATGCAAGTCAATGAATGAGTTTCTCTAACCAGGTCAATTATGCTTGACTAAATAGACACTTAGGAATTCCTTCCTTATGCTCATCTAGTCAAGTGCACACGCGAGGACCAGTTTCTCAACTAGCTTAGGCGGAGACTGATAATGGGTCCAGCAATACCAACCTCCTACCATCGTGGCAATAAGGAAAGAATATCTAAAAGGACTAGTCAATAGGTAACTTTCGATACCTGAAGTCACATTCGTGACATGGAGGAATCAAAAAAGGAAAGAGTAGAACAAGATGGAAACATAAGAGAAAGTGATAGGGAGACAAAAGTAATGGAAGCAAAGATAAAAGTAAAGAGACGAAAAGGTATAGAAGTGAGAGAAATGGATGATATATATAAAAAAGTATAAGACAAGGGGGAAAAACTTCAAAGTCACACTTGGCATGATTGTGCCACAACCAATCCATACCAAGGATGAGGTCAAAAGCTTGACTCGGCACCACCCATAATGACTGCAATCCAAGCTCAAAATCGCCCATATGCATAACTAGATCTACCTCATCCCAAGCACATGCATGTGTATAGCCATTGCCATAAAAAATGAAACTATCTTTACCACATGACACAAACATAAATAGCAATGTGTGGCAACAAATCAAGTAATAGAAGATAAACTCAAATCTGTATCAACCAACATGAAGAGAATAATAGGAGACCACTTGTTATAAAAATGAACTTAGAAAATAAACACTAAATAAACTAGTGCCGAGTGAACCCCTTGATGATACTTCCAAAAGAAAAATGGAGGGGTCACTGACTTATTCGCGCAAGGTCCCTCCATAATTTGTGCGACTCCTTGTTTCTTGAATGCATTTTAGTGTCCAAACCTTTCACTGCAACAACACCAACAAGACATTGTTGATGCCAATGTCTCCACCCAGGAAATGGAAGCCACCAATCCGGAAAATGCCGACAATGTCGATAAGTGTGACCAACTTCATCACACGCTTAGCAATGAACATCACGGCCACAACCACGTCCTTGCCTATGTCCTTGAACTCGAGCAATAGTAACATTAACCTCCATTGGAACAGGACCATCTCCCACAAGAAGTGGAGTTGAAGGACGTGCAGTGAGAAGTGAAAGAAACGATGTCTCATAACATTGTGCCAAGTGAAGGGCATTATCAAGGGTGGTTGAAGCAAGTGCATACACAAGTTTTACAAAATTTTGATGAAGTGCTGGCCACAACATTCCCAGCTTGATTTACTCTGACATAATTTGCTTTGCACGAAACAAGAAGCTTTAAAAATGAATGCTAAATTGCATCACCGATGTAGATGGTCCTTGACAAAAATGATACAATTGTTGGAAGGCATCATCACAATCGTTAACATATCTGAATGCATATTTGAAAACATCTGAGAGAATACTTCAATCCCCATAAGTGGCTGCACTTAAACTATTATACCACTGCAGCACTATCCCTTGGAGACACGTGGAAAACTCATGTAAACATCGAGCATCATCCCAAGAATAATATGTGGCAATCATTGTGAAGTGATTAAACCAATAGTACACATCATCCCTAAGATTCCCACAAAAAAACTTTGGCTGAACACGAGGATTAACATCAAGAGTAGGAGGAGTTATACCATATATTGTGAATCCCGCCATCAACTGAGTTTGATTGTTCAACTGCAATCACATAGCATCAAGCAATTGCACTAACTGCTACTATAGAATCAAAGGAGGAGGAGACTATTGCTCTGCCATAAAGATGAATAAAAAGGAAAGAGCAAAAGAAAATTAAAAAAAAAAAGTTAGAAGGAAAAGGAGATTTAGACAATACAAAGTTAAATTTAATCTAAAATCCCGAAAGGAAAGAACAAAAAATAGGAAATAGAAAAAACTAAATCTAAACGATGTAAAAGCAAGATTTAAACCAAAATCCCAAATCCAAACACTCCTTAGGGACAATCAAAATTACCCCTTAATTCCACTAATATGAATGTATGAAATATGGAAAGGGAATACAAAAAATGTGCATATTAATTAACCCAAAAACTTTAGTTTATATATAGGAATGACTAGTCCAAATTAAAACCAATCTGATGACTACCAAAATCACACTATGCTAATATTAGGATATAGCATTGTAGCCGTACACTTGGACCTCACAATATAATATTTATTTAATCACTATTATTTTTCCTTTATATGTGTAAATATTAAATGGATCATATTTAAATAATATTTTTATTTCTTAAATAAAATTTATTTTTGGAATAATAAATTTAATATGAGGGAGAAATAATATACTTACTGAAAATGATATTAACACCATTATCAATGAATATGAAAACTATATAGTATCTAACTCAAATTCTAATAGATATTGATGGTGGATATTGTAATAAGAATATAACATTTTACTATTGGATATTGTTCAAATTGAAATACAAAAGATAATTATATATTTAGAGGTCTAAAATGGTCAATAAAAGAAGTATTAATAAAAAACTTAAAGGATTTACTTAAAGCCCAGTCTATGAATGTAAAATAATATCTAATAAGTATTTAATTTATTATGCATTAGTAATTCATTCTGTTAATATTACTAAAATGTCAAATTGCTCAAATAATTTTTAATGCAGGTTTTTCTGATTATTTTTTGCATAAAGTTCAATTTTTAAACTCAATATTATGTGGACATATCAAAAAGATTATTTTGAAATGTTTTATTAAATGGTAAAATAATATTATATACACAATATTGCATTATTAATCTGCAAAATAATAAAAATTTAGTATTATTTACAGAAGAAAGAAAGTATTATCAATTTACTGTAATTGGCACTTCATTTTACTGCCAGTAGTCATTGAGAATGCAGAGCTTTAGATCCAGCATATATGACAGATATACAAGCTTGGGAGCACATTGCCAGAACAGTTCTAGTGGACAGAGATGCTAGGTATCACCATAGCTTAGGTGAAGGAGTTTGGAAAGTGGCTGACATATGCAGATTCACAGCCCTGTTTTTACAAACGTTGGATGCCGACTGGTTGGTCCCCATCTTGTGTCAACTCTTCAATGAGACAATGGAGCGTCCATATGGAACATTAACAGAGTTGTCTTGATCTACTATGCAGGAGACCCAACACTCCTGTCGAACCATCACACCTATGATATCAACAATCTTCACCAAGCTCCTTGCAAAGGTGGCTGACCACCTAGTGACATGGACAAGGACGAATGGCTGTAGAGCCAGGGGACAGGTGGGATTCACGCCCTGCATGGTCACCCTCCAAGTGACACTTCAAAACAATTTAACTGTGTTTACATGGGCTATGTGGACATTGCCAAGGCATTCAATGTCACAAGCTAAACTCTTTCAGCATCTCTACTAGTTCAATATTCCACCTAAGCTGATAAAGATGATCCAATTGTTATACAAGAACGTGCAAGCGGATGTCCTCAAACAAGCACGTGAAAACTGTGACACTAGAGTTAGACAAGGATGCCCCCTCTCTCCCACACTATTTTGGCTTATTCAGTTCTACTACTGGCCACCATCCAAAAGCCCAAAGACCACCAGCTAGTTTGACACTTTAGTTGCATTCTGCAATGAAATAGGGCTCATAGGTGATGGTATTTGGGCCAGATACCAAGTGTGCTCATATACAAAGGCAACTACATAAAAATACCTTGGCTACACAGTAGACCACAAGTTTCCGAGAGGAGAGAATCATGATAGCATCATGAGCACCAATCTTACTGTCACCAGGGAAAAGTCCACAGATGGGGGGTAAAGCGGACATACTACATGACAAAAGTCATAGCGACTGCATTGTACAATGCCAAATGTTAGGGCCCAGTCAATGTGGGACAAACTAGATCAACAAACGCTTCTTGGCAGCAGAATTCAGCATGTACAGGACAACTTACCCAATTCTAATCCTCGAAACCAGCCTTCTCCCTCTAGAGATCCTAGCATAGATGGCTGAGACTCTAGGGAAAGGGTGGTGAAGCAAGCTCAAGACATGGATAGAGAAGCTTGGACGCAATCTTGAAACACTGTACACTGAATTGATAAACTGACTAGAGTTCTGAATGTGGCAAGCCTTGTAGCAATGGTTCTCCTTACAAACCACCACAAGAGACATATGGAGCACAATCGTTGATCAAATGCTCAATGTCCCCAGCTTGCTCGAAGCAAGTTGGGTAGAGTCTCCTCTCACGGTCTCAGTTGTCAGCCTAGCTCCACTATAAGTCTCTGCGTCCCGTTCAGTGGCCAATCATCAAAAACCAAGCTCCAACACTCTCCGGTTCTGTGGGTGGCTGATCTCCACCATTTGCCTCCGAGGCCAAATCAACTCTGCCTATTTCTGAGATGGAGCTCAGCTGCTATAACAGAATTGATGCCCACCATCGCGAACACGAACTACTACCGCAGCTGCAGAGGGGGACATAGCATTCATCTGTGACAAAACATGGCAACCGGACAAAGGTAGGCCACAACCACAAAAGGGACACAGATGCTAACGAGATTGGACAATGAACAGCTGCAGCAATTGTCACGAATCCGTCGCATTTCTAAACCTTCAAACAATTTTAGGGTATAAGCGGGAAACTATGGACTGGCGGATGTCTTTGGCGCTCAACGCCGCTGCGATGATGGAGCGAGCGGACGAGGCGCTCGTTCCGGCTGTGTACTCCGAGATCGCGGCAGGCTTTGGGATCGGTCCCTCGGCCCTGGGATGGCTCACCTTCGTCCGCGCGCTCGTCCAGGCCCTGGCGTCGCCTCTCGCCGCCTATCTCGCCATGACCTACAATCGCGCGCACATCGTCGGCCTGGGCGCGCTGGTGTGGGGCGCGGCGACGGCGGGAGTGGGAATTTCCAGGAGCTACTGGCAGGTAAGAAGAAATCTGAAAGCTTTGGAAGGATAAAATTTCCATAGGCCGTGATCGCCAGGGCAGTGAATGGCATTGGTCTTGCCGTGGTTGTTCCAGCGATCCAGTCTTTAGTGGCCGATAGCCACAAGGAGGAGAGTAGAGGGCTGGCTTTTGGCTGGCTACACGCGTCCGGCCAGCTGGGAACAGTCTTTGGAGGAGTTTTTGCTACACTCCTCGCAGGCACGAATGTTTTCTCTGGAGTTCCTGGCTGGAGGGTGGCGTTCTTCATCGTCGCTCTACTTAGCGTGCTCCTCGGGATCATTGTCTATGCCATCGTCAAAGATCCAACCCCGCCTAGATCGTCGGGCAATTGCACGTAAGTTTCTTTTATCGTTGTTGCTGCTTGAAGTTCTTGCTCAATGGGTGACAATGATCTTCGCAGGTCTGTCAGCGAGAAAACGAAAGAGATGATCCGAGGCACGCGTTCCGTGCTGAGCTTGAGGACTTTCCAAGTCATCGTGGCACAAGGGGTGGTCGGTCAGACGCCATGGAACGCCATGGTTTTCTTCACGCTCTGGCTGGAGCTCCTGGGATTCGGGCATGCCAGGGCGGCTCTGTGCGTGGCACTCCTCTCCATCGGCAACGCATTTGGATCGGTCTTCGGGGGATGGGTTGGCGACGTTGCAGCAGCGAAGTTTCCAAACGCTGGCCGGATCGCTTGCTCGCAGTTTAGCGCCGGGGTCGGGATTCCTCTCTCGGCACTGCTCCTGCTTGGGCTTCCAAGCCGGCCATCTTTTGCCTGGGCTTACGGCTTGGTCCTCTACGCCATGGGCTTCCTCATGTCTTGGAACTCTCCCGCGACGAACTGGCCCATCTTCTCGGAGATTGTACCGGCGGAGCTCCGCACGACTGTGTACGCGCTGGACATGGCCCTGGAGAAGTCCGTAGCGGCCGTCGGCTCTCCTCTGGTGGGAATACTCTCGGAAGTTTTCGGTTTTAGTAGCAAGCCGGATGGTGGTGGCGGGGCAAACGCACGAGCAATGGCACGGGGACTGTTTCTTTGCATTGCCGTGCCATTTGTGGCGTGCATCGCGATCATCTCGGCGCTCTACGTCAAATACCCGGTGGACAGGGACGCTGCTCGAGTAAACCGAGAGTATGTTAAGCTGGAGGTGGATGACGAAGACAGGCCAGCGGTTGCTGTTGAGTAGAAAATGGATGCTGTTCTTGGAACCCGCTTGATCTTGGGGACCTTTCGGCCACCATATTTCCATATTTCATGCAGGTTTGCAGGCTTGCTTGTTTGGGGTGATTGAAGATTTCAGAGTAGAATGCATGGGTTAAGGAGATGATTTGCTAATTGCTGGCAAATTCCTAATTTATGCCATAACAAAGCTAGTAAAAAGCATTTGTGAATCACCACTTAATACTTTGCAGCAATTAAACTAACTATACCTTAATATCCAACACTAATGTATAATAATAAAAGGAGTTGCCAAACTTTCTAGGCTGTCAGATCCATCCATCTGATTTGGGGGGTAATTTTTTAAGGGTAGCAAATAATTGTGTTGATGTTGGCTCTTAGCCAATGGGAGGTGGCTAATTGCTTGAAGGCATTGTAACACATATCACATCCAAGAATATTCTATAGATTGTGGGATTTAAGGCTATAATGCATTAAGGTTGGCCTAAGGTTCATTCTCTTGTTTGTTTCATTAGTATCGAAACAACACATTCTTTTAAGGATGGTGGGTGAGTAAGATATTGATCTTAATAAGGAGTATGGTGTTAGTGATGATGGTTATAACAATGAAGAAGAGACTCTTGATGATGTCATTGTGTGGCAAGGACATTAAATTTATGAGGTTTAAAGCAACATAAAGAGGTTAAAGATTCTATCAATCTCATTAAAGACTTTAGCTTTGTATAGACCCTTAAGGGTTGAATCAATCTCATGTCCATGATTACCATTGGTATGTCAAGCATGCTAAGAATTATAATATCATGGAATGAAAGTCATCATTAGATGTTTGTGATACCCAGGAGGTTAATTCTTGGTTGGAATTATGGAAAAGTTGTTAATCTCACAATCTTTATGAGGATAAAGTGAAGATTGATTTTTTTATAACAAAGTTTATGGTCCATACTTCTTTATGATAGAAGAACTACATCAAAGCTAATCCAAAGCTAACTTCTTAGAATGATTTGATGAAGGCTTTCTGCTTCATTTGTCAAGAAGTTTGAAGAGATTGATCTCATGAACCAATTGTTAGAGATTTGGCAAGGGATTTTGTCTTTAGATGCGTTTGCATGTAAGTTTTGTGATCTTTGCTTTAGTCTTACGGGCATTTATAATGAGTTGCTAAAGGTGTAATGTTTCATCAAAAGATTGAGCTTAGTGGATGTGCAGCAAAAGGTCAAGAAGAATTTTCTAACAACATTGACTGATGCTATCACTAAGGCTTGATCTTTTTGCTCAAACCGTCAGTCAACTTAGTCAACTATGGTTAATGGGATGGTCTATGTGGTGGTCAACATGATGACCAACCCACCAATACTTCATTTTCAGGGAAAAGTAGCCATTGTTCCATTGTGGCTCGAAGAGTGGAAATGGTAATAAGGCTAAAAGACATTGTTTGGACTAGTAAGAGAAGGACAAAGTGGAAGGAAATTATTTTCGTTGTCACAAGGCTAGATATCACGGCAAGAATTGTCCTCTTGTGAAGGGATAAAAAAATGCTAAGGTGAATATAGTGGAATCCATTGTGGATACAACTCAGGCATCTGCTGTAGTGGCTCTTCCACACCATATGGCAAAAGTTCAAGAATTTAAGTCTCAAGTTCATATCAACTCTGTAGAGATTAATGCACAATCAACTTGTGAAGGCCAAAGGGGACATTCAGAGTAGTGTTGTTAGTATTCTTTTTGATCCAGGTGTTATTCGCAACTTTTTGAGTTCCAAAGTGGTGAAGAAACTTAGTTTGCTTGTGGAAAAGAGTTCAATAATCTACAAGGTGGTTATGGCAAATGGATGTAACACTTGTGTTTACAATGAATGGGCTTTGAGTGTTTCTTTGACAGTTTAGGGGATTTTCAACCATCTTTTGTTCCAGGTTATAGATTTTGGTTGCACAGACATTATTCTTGGGAAGGAATAGTTTTATAATAGGAAGCTAAGAATCGATTGGGAGCATAATGTTCTATGTATCAAAGTTGGGGGCACTGTGAAAGAGATTGTCAAGATAGACAATGGTGATACTCCATTGATTAATGCTTTGGAGTTGGTGACATGCACACATGAGATAGCTAGTTCTTTTGTGGTGTACATTTCTTTCTAATATGATTATATCTGATTTGAAGTACGTTTGTGGGCATAGGGGTTGGGTGGATTCCATTCAGGAGGAGTTCTATAACGTATTTCTGGATGAGTTGCCTAATGGTTTACCTCCCAAAGATGAAATTTAGCATGAGATTGACTTGGTTCCTAGAGCTACTTCTTATTAGTGACAACCGACTCATATTAGTCCTATTGAAGATGAGGAGATTAATAGATAACTTGCTAAATACCTTCAGAAAGGGTGGTTACAGATCAATAAGTCTCTTTAGGCTATTCCAGTGGTGATGGTCAAAACGAAAGATGGCACATGGCATATTTATGTAAAATATAAAGGATTGAATGATAAGAAGGTAAAGAATATGTTCCCAATCCCTCGTATCAATGATTTGCTCGATCGTCTTCGTGGTGCTTGATATTTTTTTAAGATTGATTTGAAGCAAGGGTATCATCAAATTTATGTTAAGCCAGAGAATGTTCCAAAAACTATATTTCGGATAAGGACAGGTCACTACAAGTTTTTGGTGATGCTATTTGGTTTGACAAATGCTTCTGCAACTTTTCAAAGATTAATGAATCAGTTCTACAACCTTATTTGAGAAAGTTTGTATTTGATTATTTTAATGATATCCTGATATTCAACTCTTCAATGGAGGAACATGAGATGCATGTGCAAAGTCTTTTACAATTTTTGAGGGATAATAAACTTTACTCAAAGTTATCAAAGTGTGAGTTTTTTTTAGAGGAGATTGGATATCTCGGGCATTTGATTTCAGTACATGGAATGAGAGTTGATCCTGCAAAGATTCAGGTCGTGGTTGATTGGCCTATACTTTCAATAGTGCATGATTTCCATAGTTTCTTTAGTATGGCTAGAGTTTTTCAACGATTTGTGAAGGAATTTTTAGGGATAGCAGCCCCTTTGATTGATCTTCTTTAGAACATGTCGAAACATGCTTTATTTATGGTTGGGATGAGAAGTGTGAAGTGGCATTTCAACATTTAAAATAGTGTTGTATCTCTGTTCAAATGTTGAAGATTTTTTATCCTAAAAAGCCTCTTGTGGTCAAGATAGATGCAAGTGCTATTGCTATTGGAGCCGTATTGCTTCAAGTTGGGCATCCTCTTGTGTATATGAGCCATAAATTTGATGCCACATAGAGGAATTAGCCTACTCAAGACAAGGAGTTATATGCTATGATTGCTACTATGAAGGAATGGCAACATTATTTGTATGGATTGGAATTCCATGTGGATTCAAACCATCAATCTCTTCAATATTTTAGTTGACAAAAGGATCTTTGAGGTTGCCTTGCTCATTGGCAAGAGTTCTTGAAGGAAATATTTGTTAAGATCTAGTACAAGCATGGATGTGACAATAAAATGGCTAATGCATTATCTAAGATGGTGAACTCTATCTCGTTTGTGAAGCTATTCAATGATCTCTTGGATGAGTTTAAGGAATTTGTTAACTTCGACTCCTTTATCACTAATATTTGTGCGAAGGTTTTGTTGAGGGACACCTCTACAGATTTGAAGGGTGACAAGTTTGTGTCATTTGAGATATAAGATGGAATCCTAGTGAAGAAGGGATGTGTAGTGGTTCTTCATGTTGACAAACTTATCAAACGGATTTTAGTTGATTGTTATAATGTGCCAAGTGCTGGGCATCCGGGTGTATTGAAAACGTATATGTTAGTGAAGAAGAATTTCTTTTAGCCTGGAATGAAGTTAGATATTGAGAAGTATGTGGTTTTTTGATCTACCAAGTGGTCAAAGTTAATCATTAGAAGCTCACTAGCCTCTATCATCCTTTACACGTACCCAAAAATAAGTGGGATAACATCTTGATAGACTTTATCACTGGTTTGCCCAAGACCTTTCGAGGAAATAATGCTATTTAGGTTGTTATAAATTGTTTGACGAAGATGGCTCACTTCTTCCTCATGAAGACAGCGATAGAAGCTTCTGAACTTGCTTAGTTGTTTGTAGATTGATTATTCACTCTCTATGGTTTGCCGAGTGACATTATGAGTGATTGGGATCCCAAGTTCACATCTAAGTTTTGGCAAATGGTCTTTGAAAGGCTAGAGACTAAGCTGAGCATGAGTAGTGGTGAGCATCCACAATCATATGGATAGACAGAGTGCATGAATCAACTATTAGAAGATATGCTAAAGTCTTTTATAGAAAATTTGACTTGACAAGGAGTATGACAGAAGTATTTGCCTTTGCTTCAATTTGCTCACAATAATGCTCATGAATCAGCAATTGGCATGTCTCCCTTTATAGCGATGTATGGCTATAAGTCTAGGTTTCTTGTGAGTTTGAATTTGGCTTTGGTTCAGGTACCTCATACTTGTGATTTCTTGGAGGATATGCAAGATAAGCTTGAGTTGGCAAAGTTGAACATAATGACAAAGTTTTCCTTAAGCTGTCGAATGCACAATGGTCTCTGAAAGAAGGTAGTAGTGCTAAGTTGTCTCCATGGTATTGTGGGCTTTGGACAATTTTATAGCATATGGGGGATTTTGCATACACTTTGGACTTGCTAAATAGTTTGAAGATTCATCCAACATTCCATGTGAGCAAGCTTAAAGCGTGTTTACACTCTAGTGCTGTCATGAATCAGTCTATCATCCAAGTCTTAGAAATTGATGCCGAAAAGGCTAATCTAACCAATATTCTTGCTCAAAGATTGGTGAAAACATGCTGGAAGAAGATTAGAGAGTTGTTAATTTAGTGGAATATAGATGAAGCTACATAGGAAACTAAAGATGACGTGAAGAGAGTGTTTCTGTGTTTTAGTTATAACTTGGATTACATTCCTAAGGAAGGGGAGAATTGAGTTCTATAGCTGTATTGTTATATGATTTTAGCCATTTGTTCTATTCTTATTCTTGTTTCCATGACCATATTGTCATGCGAGAAAGTTGCTTTCTTTCTTTCGTGGTCGTTTGTCATGGTGTTTACACATCTTTTCTCCATGGTGTATTGCCTTGGACTCCCTTCATATGAAGCTTGTTTAGCTTCTCGAGGCTCTGGGTCATGAGGGAGGGGAGAATGACACAAACCACAAAAATATTTTCAGAATATTCCATGGTCTGTGGGATTTAAGGTTGTGA